CTTGCATTGTGTTAATCTGTGTGAATGGTAAACATCGACATAGTTAAACTATGAAAGTGTATTTTAAAAGGATTTTTTAATTCATTAACTGGAAAGTAGATGATAATAAAGTAAACACTTCTCATATTATTATCCCCTTGTAAGCAGATTGGCATTTGCCCCACAAGCCAGAAAAGCAAAGTCACTTTGAAAAAATAACATGTTTCAGATTCTTAATCTCCTAAATCAAAAATACTTGAGAGCAGGTAATAGGATATCTAGTTCAACTTTAATCTTTGTGGCAAAAAAAATACTGAATTTTATGATTCAATATTAAAAACTGCTTGTGGATGATGCCCCAAGTTAAAGCAATGTCAGTTACTAAAGATCTTTGAGTACTTTCCAAATGTCTTCATTACAAGTTAAACATTAATGGAGGAAACAGAAACAATCCCAGAACTTTGCTTTGCCCAACTTTGTTTCAGACGTCTTCGTCCATGGGTTCCCTTACGGTGCTCCCCCTTCCTCCTCACCCTCCACCCGTCCCTTAGTCTTTCGGATTAGCCATAGCCATTCCCAAACTCCCGCTATTATGGGGTTGCTATTAAAACCTCCTGGATATCGTGGAAGTCTCTTACCTAAAAGGTGAACGTTGAGGGAAGTCTAAGCTTCTGGCAACTTAGTCCAAGAGGAAAATGTGGGGAATACCACTGGAGATGTCAATCTCCAAGCCTTTGGAGGATCCTCCCACTGTAGGGATGAAGGATCCTCCCACCGTAGCTTGTGCTGGGCACACACGTGTCTACGCCCAGGAGTGGGGACTTCCCCTTTCTGGTGCTTGCTCTTCTCCAGGGAAGGTCTGATGCATCTCCTCCAACATCTTTATGCTCATCGTTTCCTAAATAAAAGACCGTCTAAATATGGGTTTGAAAGAGATAACTAGTAAACACTTAAAAGTAAATGGAAAACTGGGTAAAAATGTGACTTAGTTAAACGTAAATTATGTCGTAATACTTGTTCTGACAAAGTAGCTAACTTTGGCAAAGGCAGTCTTGAACCCAGAGCAGCTATTTCTTTGTGTTAGGAGGCACTTGTGATATTATTGAACTTCTCTTCTATATCACTTTAGTGATCCTTGAGTTTCACAATGTAGCTACTTGGTTACAACAATTTGCATCTATTCTGAGGTCATCAGATTAATTTTTTTTTTACACAGTTTTGTGCTTTTGAATGTTACTGACTTGTGTTTATTAGGATTCCTGTAACAAGTTTAATATATGGCTATGGAATTAAATGTTAGCCTGTAATGAATGTTACAAAAACAGGATCATAGTACATTCATGGAAAAACTCAATTTTTCATGTTTCCAATTTTTATTTATTCATGTTTCCCCTTTTTTCAACTAGGTAAGCACTTCAGGAATCGATGTGCGTGTGTATAGAGATGGAGAAAGAGATTGAGAGGAAATGAGAACATAAACTATTGATCAAGCAGACTGGAACTAAATTACTCATTAGTTAAAAATGGCTAACGATGAGAGAGCAATGATCTGTCACAGGCTGACATCAGTATGATGCATCTAGGAAAGGGCAAATACAGTAGTAGAATGAATTGGGCAAGATATTTGCTGTAGTGATAACACTGTATTTATGCCATTTTTCAAGTCACTGGGGAGACGCGTGCAAATAATTGAAACTCTACGAGCTCCAAAGATTAATTCAAACTAGAGCAAATAGAGAGGGTCTGCGAGGAGGGTGTGGGTGACTTGTGGGACCAGCACTGAGCAAACACGGCTCGCTGAGCCTGCCAAAATAAAGGCTGGGGTGTGGGGAGGGAGTGGAGAAACAGTGCAGCTCACAACAAATGAAAATGCCAAGGGTAAATGCCAGGGAGGAATAAAAGTTTGAAATAAAAGGCAGTGTTTTTATAAAGAATAAGTAACTTGCCCAGAAATAAATTCAGAAGACAGTTTTCAAATGTCAGAGTTATATATGGTTATAGCAGCCGTCTGATACAGATAGTAAGTACAAGAAGATCTAAATCATTTTAAGGTGGAGTGTATGGTGGGTTTGGTAAATTTATGGAAATGATTATATGAAATGGGTGTCTGAAGTGATAGGCAACTGGGCTCAGCCCCATCCAGATTGTGGCTCCTATGTGAGAGCATTCGAGCAGTGAATATGTATGTACATCTTTACCTAGTTTCTGCTATAGGTTTACCTGTTCATCTGGGAGTTAAGCCATCTTCTTACTCTATAAATAAATATTTCCATATGTTAATGTTCTCTATCTTCATTTATAATCCAAAACTTGAGGTTATATTGGAGAGTGGCTTGTCTCCTGCTGTCTGTTTTTTGGAAGTATTAAATCCACCTACAAACCTTTACGATCATTCTGTAGGAAGAAGTAAAACATGATCTAGTATTCCTTATTCCCTAGCACAAAATAAATCCCATTGATAGGTGAAGCGTGTAAATTGTTTGCCTAAACTCTGCAGCCCTTCCATATTGACTTTCTTTGATAAATATTAAAGGGCAGAAGGCCGCTCCTGGCTTTCCTGGAACTTGACAATCAGACCTGCCAACAGAAGTAGTAAAAACAAATAAATAGGGGACTGTTCTTCATAATAAATTATATTTGAGTTGTATGTGCCTGCAAACAGCAGCTCTTTCTGCCATTAAGCCCAAAGAGCTGCAAGCCCTCCTACACCACAGGATGCTTCTTGGTGGCACTTTTGTTCAGAGATTTTTTAACTTGTCTGCGCGTTGGAGACTTTGGGGCTTGTGTTACCAAAAAATTCTGTATCTCTGAATTTTTATGGATTATAATTCTCTTTAATTTAATTACTCTTACTCTGAGTACCTGTAAGGTCATGTGAAAAGGCAGCCAAGGACCAAAGGCTTTGGTACATGTCCTAAATTTGAAGAACCTTTCTGGTTTTACGGAGCTATGCAGTACATATCTCTGGTCATACCGATCTGTAATTGCCAAGACAAGGGATGTCTGTGGACCTGTACATTCTGTTTCTTGGGCTTAGGGAAAGCAGAGAACATCTTTGGATGAGGACAGCACTATCTGTTTGATAAGCTGAATTTTTTCACAGAAACAGAAGTCAACGGTACCCTAGTAAAGTTCATCTTCGTTTTGTGCCCGTTCACTTCTAAAAGTCATTTTTAATATAATTTTAGCTTTTGTGTATTTCACTGAATTTCACTGAATTTCTAGAGTTGGAAGGGACCATAGAGATCATCTAGTCCAACTCCCCTGCTGAAGCAGGATTGCCTAGAGCTAGACCATGTTACTCAGGAGCATCCAGGCGGGTTTTGAAAATCTCCAAAGAAGGGGACTCCACACCCTCCCTGGGCAGCCTGTTCCAGGGCTCTGTCACCCTCACCGCGAAGAAGTTTCTCCTCGTATTTGAGTGGAACCTCTTATGTTCCAACTTGTGCCCGTTGCCCCTCGTCCTCTCGGTGGGAACCACTGAAAAGAGTCTGGCTCCCTCCTCCTTCAACCCTCCCTTGAGATACTTGTAGGCATTGATAAGGTCTCCCCTCAGCCTTCTCTTCTCCAGACTAAAGAGTCCCAGCTCTCTCAGTCTCTCCTCATAAGGGAGATGCTCCAATCCTTGAATCATCTTTGTAGCCCTACGCTGGACTCTTTCTAATAGTTCCCTGTCCCTCTTGAACTGGGGAGCCCAGAACTGGACACAGTACTCCAGTTGTGGCCTCACCAGTGCAGAGTAGAGGGGGAGAATGACTTCCCTTGACCTGCTGGCTACACTCTTCCCTATACAACCCAAGATACCATTGGCCTTCCTGGCCGCAAGAGCACACTGTTTACTCATTGTCATTTTACTGTCCACCAGGACCCCTAGATCTTTCTCTTCAGTAGTTGCCTCTAGCGGGTCCACCCCTAACCTGTACTGGTGCCTGACATTCTTCTTCCCCAGGTGCAGGACCCTACACTTTTCCCTGTTGAACCTCATGAGGTTCTTCTTTGCCCAGCCCTCCAGCCTGTCCAAGTCTCGCTGGATGGCAGCACAGCCCTCCGGGGTGTCAGCCACTCCTCCCAGTTTGGTATCATCAGCAAACTTGCTGAGGATACACTCTGTCCCCTCGTCCAGGTCACTGATGAATATATCAGTACCTACTGACTTAAGTATTGAGTATGAAGAGCTCCTTGAAAAATCTCTGGTGTATCAACTGGAGGATTTTATCTGAATAAATATAGTTGTTGCTGCTGCTGATTGCCCCTTACAGAACATAGCCTGGCTGGGCTGCTGCTGCTCTGTGTTCTACGGAGCTGCAGCAGGACTTGCTGTGCTCCGAAGTATGAGCTGTAGACAGTCGTTTCCATTGTGGCCCGATTTTTTTTTTGTTTCAAATTTAACTTACAATCCTTCCATTTTACAGACTAAGAGACTTTTGCTGCAGGGGGGGGATAAAGGCTTTTGTGTGACTTTGGTTGTCTGGCTGGGAGCTTATCCCACAGGCTTCTTGATTTGTGAAAGGGGCGTAAAACTTGTTGCACAATGAAGCACTAAACGATGTGCTCAGATGAATGGTGAGATGGGGAAGGAAGAGTGTGAGTGATGTGTGAATCCGCTGCCCGCTGGGGTCTCCTTAGCATGCAGCAACACGCCCGCGGCAGAGAAGAGACTGCAGCGTGGCCTTCAGCCACAGAAATATATTTTTCCAAATGGCATCTCTGTCTCTTGGTTTTAAAATAGCTTTTAACTTTACACATTCTACGTCTCGGTTCGATTTCTTCTTTCGTGTGTTCTCAGGAGGTCGTTTCAGATTCAAATGGCTGGCTGTTTAACTCACCCAAATGTAATTTTGAAATAACACGGAGCTTGTATCAGTTTCCATCAAACCCCCACCTGAAAATTTCTGCCAACGTTGCTGCTGTTTGTGCTAGAAACCATCTTTTTTTGTTGAGTAGTTTTATGTAGGAGCACAACTGATGTGTTTTTATGGATGCTGATACCATCTTTTGTCTTTCTTCTGTTTTATTTGCAGTCCCTCCTGAATTCCTGAAGCGGCCTGCAAACATTTATGCTCATGAATCCATGGACATTGTGTTTGAGTGTGAGGTGACTGGAAAACCTACTCCAACTGTGAAATGGGTCAAGAATGGAGACATGGTGATCCCAAGCGACTACTTCAAAATTGTTGTAAGTATATCGTCCATTTTGCAGAGTTTTAAACTGTTGACTTTGTTGGTCCTCTAGCCCATCCGCATGGAAACTATATTGTTTAGGACCAGCTTCCTGTTTTCATGCTATTGATCTTTTGGGCCTGGAAGGGAAGTGGTTTTTAAAACCTTAAATGCTCTGTAATTTAGTCATTTTACTGAAACTCTAAGGCATTTTGCTTATATTGTATGAGTCTCTTTTTTTAAAATTTACATTTTCCATGAGAGACAGACACACACAATGATAAAACCACACTCTGTTGGTTGAGCCTGTGAACACCAATTGTGTTTTGTGCAGTCATTTGTGATCAATGAAAATACCCCATCCCTGGAAACACCCAAAGTCAGGTTGGACGGGGCTCGGAGCAACCTGATCTAGTTGTCCCTGCTCATTGCAGAGGGTTGGACAGGATGACCTTTAAAGGTCCCTTTCGACCCAAACTATTCCATGATTCTGTCACGTCACAATTTCAAACAGGAGTTAAAACGTAAATATCGCTGAGTTGTGGATCGTGAATTTTGGCACAGCAGTACTTCTAGAGGGAAATTTTAGATGTAGTGAAAGTCATTATTGAGACATAGTTGAGAACTTAATGGTTGTATAATTGGGTATACCTGAGGTTGGAGGGTTGTAACAGTAAGCCATGCAGTTATAGTCAGTGCTTAAAATATCACAAAAGTGGCTGTGGAAATGTTATGACTTGCCAGTGATATGTGATGCTAGAAAATGATAGCCATTAGTAAGAGCTTCTGCTGCTTTTTGATACCTTATAATTTGAGGATTCAGTGCAAGAGAGATGAAATCTGACGGGAACTCCAAATACACTTTTCCACGTTACTGTTCAGAAGCTTCTCCTGTCATAGTAATGTGCCATAATAACGCCGTTGTTTTTGCAATTGCAACCCATTTTTAAGTGTTGCGTTTTCCCTTTGCTCTTCAGAAAGAACATAATCTGCAAGTTTTGGGCCTGGTGAAATCAGATGAAGGATTCTATCAGTGCATTGCAGAAAATGATGTTGGAAATGCACAGGCTGGAGCCCAGCTGATAATACTTGACCTCGGTAAGATAAACCATCACAGCAGAGTGCCAAAAGATGGGGAGGAACAATTTCAAGGGACCTTTTCCATGTGATGTGTTATATCTATAACTCAGCTAGAGTTAGGATGGTTTTTAAAAATCATATGAGTGATTCAGTGTCATCTTCCGTACACTTAAAGTTACTTAGGAGAATTTAAGGAATTCTATAGGATTCACCTTGTATTTTGGAAAATATTTTAAAAATATTTAGTGCATTAATAAACTGTAGCCAGAAACCTGGAATACTGTCGCATGCTGAGATTTTAAAAAAAACAAAACAGGATAGCAGAAATGAAAACAATCACTGAAAGGACAAAACTGGAAAATAAGCGCTTAGGGAACACACCACAATGAAGTATTTTACACTGAAGTCATTCCAGTGTCAGAAGCTTTTTTCTGCTATTAGTTTAAATAGTAATAAGCTCTGTCATTTCTGCAGACTGTGACTGCAAACGTTTTTTTGAGTTACAGCTGCAGTTTAAGATAAATACTTGTTATTGTGCTCCAGTCAGGGGAATTACTAACAACGCTCACCTTCTTGCAATCTCCTGCATTGCATACTTTGGATGTTAAAAGAGAATAATTGCTGTTACAATTAAAGACCCGCTGTCTCCCAGGGAAAAAAGGCAATACAGAATCATTGTTAAGGCATCAGCTTGTTTTGCTCTTTCAGGTCACACAGTTCTTCAAACTAATTTTTAAGAGCACAAGGAAGAAAACCCATAGTGAGGGGGATGAAGGGTGAGACAAGTCAGACAAGAGAATAGTAATTCTGTACTTTTGGGGGCTTTTGTGTTGTCTGTCGTTTTGGGTTATTGTTTGACATTGTTTCAAAATTCCAATTTCTTCTTTATTTGGCTGGAAAGGATTTAAGAGAAGCAGTCTCCTGTATAGTCAGAGGCATCATGTAACTTCACACTTGCAATTTTAGCAGGTGTGAGTCTGCTAGACCTGGTTTGGGCGTTCAACATACAGAGAGTAAGCTGTTCTGAGCCTGCCATAGAGAGATTTTCCATTTCTTTTCTGATTGTTTTGTAGAGTAGTTGTGCAATTGTAACTTCTGAATTCTCGTTTGGATCTGGGTATGTTTCATTGCTGGCTGAAGAGGTGCGTGTCCTTTCCAGGATTATTTGGGCAATGAAAGGTGCCCTCTACTGGATTCAGTAGCTTTAATACTGCAGAGCCTCTGAGCACTGTGAGGCACCTGGATCCAGCAATGCCCTACTGTTACCAGGTTGCCAGAAAAATGATTAAAAATAAATTTATTTCTCCTATATGCGTGAATCACCTGAGCAGTTTCCAAATCTTCCAAGTGGAAGCATTATTTCATATTTTCCACGTTTGCAAAATACTGAATAATTAATGTATTTGGGTTTTGAAGCAAAGCCCAAGATTGTGCTTTCAGCTGGTTCCCAGGAGCAGGTTATAAATGACAATTACTGTTGTTATTTTAGTTCCTGTGGTCTCACTCTTCTTCCTTTCCCTCCCCTGATGTTTGCCCGGTGGTTCCTCCTTCCTCTTCTGCTCTGGCAACCTGTCCCATTCTACTGAAGGACTTTGCCTTATAATGCTGTCCTTTTTCTTTTGCATGCTGCCAAAGGATTATGGATGCAGTGTTGGTGGAGTCTCATTTCGGGTGTCAAGATACACCCCCGAAGTCGTGTCGCTCTGTTACATGGCCTGCAGTGTCTTTACCAACGCGCTCCCTGTGTAACACTGATGCATTTTAGGTGTTGTTTTCCAGCAGTAGAGATACCCACGCGGTACATCACTCAAAGTGCATCGTGTGTTCTGTCGGTGTTGAGTAGTGGCGTAACGAGTAGTGCGACTAGCGATGGGCGTGCTGTGTCTTACTCAGCTGTGATACATGACAACTGGTACGATACACACAGTTGAAGAAAATACAGATAGTTGTTATTTTAATACCCTCTCACAACGTATGAATGGCAAAGAAGGAAACACTATTCAGGGAAAGAGGGGGAAGGTGTCGTATACAGTAGTTCTTTCATGACAGATCTCTTGGTATGAAAATTCAAAACGTTAATTTGACCAAAAGCTATTCTGAATGCTTCAGTCATTAATATAGAAAGCCTTTTTTTTTATTTTTTTACTTCATACCTGATGATGAGAAATACCTACTTTGCCAATTAGAAAAGTAATTTCAGTAAAAAATGTTGATTTAAGTGTTCATCAAAGTTGTTCTTCCCAGTTAGCAGTATGAGCCTTCCCTTGCTGTTCTCTGTTTTCTCCTTCCTCAATGGAAATGGCAAACATCTGGCTATTTACAAACCATTTCCCTTTAGCCCTTTTGCTTATCACATCAAGTTGACCCTTAATAAATTACATTTCTATTAGAAAGTAGAAGCCTTAAGGAGTTTCTGAGACAGGCCACAGGTATTGTTTACGGGCCAGTGTTGAAGAAATGGAGCAAGACTATTGTGTGGACATCTATGGATGGTCTCCAGCACTGATTGTGCTATGACTGATGGTGAGGAAGGGGGTAGTTGGCTGCCATCAAGATGAGCTGGAGTAGTTGGAAAAGGTCGAGTTACTCAGGCTTTGAGGGAGATGTGCTGAGAAAGGATAAATAGAAATAAACCAGTAAAACTGTTTGCACTTTGCCTGTTAGATCAGAACTTAAATTTTCTCTTCTGTGCATTAACTTGTTTCAATGTGAACCCTTCATATGGAATTCTTCCAGCGTGTTGGGTTTTGCTGCCCAGAACATCGCTGCTTTATCCATAGCTCTATTGAGGTGCACTCTAAAGGGTTTTGAGTGCTCTGAAAGTAAAATACCTCATTTTCTTCCGTCTTAGAAGGTAATTTTAAAATACAGTAGGTAGAAAGTATACGAAGTGCTGATCTGCTACAACAAAAGCCTTCTGTACCTGGACAATGATTTCTGCCTTCGTGGGAGGCAGTAATTTGGTGATTATCCTTGAAAGAATGGATGTTGCGTGTGGCCACACGGACCAGTAGAAATGCAGACTCTCAGCTGCTGGAATAAGCTTAATACAATTGTTAATCAGACATGTTTATTTTGGGTTGGTCTTTTTTTTAATTTGAGGTTAATTCTGAAACGCTTGGAATGTATGCGGAAGTTATTTGTGGAAAATATTAAAGCAAAGAATTGACTGGCTAAAAAGAGGTAATTTGAAGGCTTATTGGAGTGTTTTTTTTATTTTCAAATTCTCTGTTAGTAGGTTTAGAGAAGAAGACTGTACTCATAACTTTCACGTTTTCTGCAATATATAGAAGACAATTGTCACATGGAGGGAAGGGATTTTAGGACAACTGTAATCGAGAAAGTGGGGAAGGGGAAGGAGAAGGACTTGGGTAAATGGTCTGAGAGAAATATTCTTCCACCAGTATCCACTGTACTTTGGGGTTTTGCAGGAGAGTTGGAAACCGTCATATCTGCTTTCAGGATACATTGAGGTTGGAAATCATGTCCCCGTCTCTCACACAGTGTCCTTCCCCAGCAGACTAAGCACTTTCGGGAATTCCAGTGGAGTTGGGCTCTGCTGCTTGGTCTGCCTTTTAGGGAGAATTTAAGAAGTAACTGGAGAAAGGGAACACTCCTCTGCGTTTGCCCTCTGCTGGTGTTTCTGCTCTCAGTGCTCCTCTCTCTGCCTCGTTAATCAAGAGATAGATGGGCTTTTCTTATGTCCTGCGGATGCCATCACAGGGGCCTCCTGCAAATCCCAGTGAGAAGGAAGAACCTTGGGTGTGCCTTGGGAATGACTTTCTCAGCAACCTCAAAATCTCCCCCCCTCCTTTTTTTACACAAATCCAACCTTTCTTAAATACACTTAGATCCTGATGGGTCGGCCTCTGACAATCTCAATTGCGGATCAGGTCTTCTAATCTGCTCAATTATAACAGAGCTACTTATTGTCACCATTTTTACAGCATTATTTTGTGTGGTCTGTGAAAGCCTCAGTAATGGATACATTTGGGTTTTCTTTGTGGAGGTTAAATGCTAGTGACAAGACTGAAGAATTGAGGCAGGAACCCGTAACCTGGCCTTTGCTGGCGTATCTGGCGTGGCTCGGGATTGCCATTTGGGGACTGGAAACAGAACAGGTGGTGATGGGTAAAAGGAGGTGCCTTCGCGGGGGGATGCAGATGGTTCCCTGTCACCCCCATGTGATAGGCATTTGACAAGTAGGCAGGCACAAAAAAAAAATATTAAATGCTGTGTAAAGAAAAATCATAGACTGTAAACAAATATGCCACGTTATTTGAAGAACTATTTCAAAACATTACTTGGGATGCGCTGTATCACCTTCAGAATTCCAAAGTAAGTGTAGTGTACTGCGGGATTTTTGTTCTTTTATACTGCAAAGGTTGGTGTTTGCTCTTCTGTGCCATCCTCGTGAGGTGTATAAGGAGTGAGACCTTGAAGTGAATAAATTGAATACGCTGCTGGTATCCACCAGTCAGGATTTTTTGTAATGAAACTAGCCATTTCTTTGAACTTAAATTGTTCATGAAGAATAGTTTCTATCCAAGAAAGGATATCCTGCATGTGAATGAATGCTACCAGCGTGGGAAACAAGGAGGAGGAATTAGAAGTCTGCATTGTAGTTGCAGAGTGGTGAGACCTTTGGGATCACAGAGGTGTTTGTTTCAGGAGAGCTCTGAGGGATGGATGGAAGCTCTTTGGGAAGGACAGGGATAGGAAAGCAAAAGAGGGTTGAGCTGTGTGCTGAGGGCTGACGGGGGTGCGTGCAGCGTCGCCTTGGGGAGGTGATGAGCTGGCTGAGGGTGTATGACCTGATGTTCACAGGATGGAAGGGCATCATTGCTAGAGACCAGCTAATTACGGGAAAGGAGTAGGTGAAGCCTTCTTTACACAGCTGGAGATTGCAGGCCCTGTATTTATGTGGCTTTTTTAACCATCTGGTGTGTGCTGGAATGGCAGCTTGGTGGTGTGGCAGGTGATACAGGTAGGCTGAAGAGACTTTCTTATCATGGGTT